AACTGAAGGTGCACAACACAAAGGGAGCACCAGCCCTTGTAGGAACTGGGCTGAGTTGGAGAAGTGTTGACTTGGTCACACCCCGAGGAATATCAAACCTAAGGGAGGAGGTGCTGCTGACTGTTAGTGGCTGGGAGATCTGTTTTGAGATTTAGATATGGAAACAAGGTTAACAAAAGATTGGAAAGGTTTCGGAGGAGGGCTGTCAGATTGATACGTGGGCTGATAAATCTCTGAAACACGCAAGAAACTCAGTCTACTCAGATTATAGAAGATGAAAAGAAAATGTTTTCTTGTTTTTTCTACTTAATTTCATGTGGACAAAACTCACTTTCTTGACTCCTCCTTAGTTTTGCTAGGAAAAGCAGAAAGCATCCAGCAGTTGGAAGCTGAAGTCCATAAATTTCAAACCTGAAAGTAAAATGTGCATTTTATAACGTGGCAAGTAACCACAAGGGAAGCCTCCCAAGAGGCTTGATGGGCTCGTCCTAATTTGCAGACTTCAAAGAAAACTGGATGTCTGTCTGTAATATACACAGTCAACCACAGATGTTGCAGCTGTGCTGAATCACAGAATCATGAGGGTTGGAAAAGACCTTTAAGATCACCAGGTCCAACTGTCAGCTCACCCCCACCGTGTCACCAACCACATCCCTCAGTGCCACATCTCCACGTTCCTTGAACACCTCCAGGGATGGTGACCCCACCACCTCCTTGGGCGGCTGTGCCAGTGCATCACCACTCTTTTGGAGAAGTTTTTCCTAGTTTCCAACCTGAACTGACTGCTTGGCTTCTTGTGTGAATGTTCAGACCTGGGTGTTAGAGTATCTTTCTTCAGGTTTTTTTTGTAGATTTATATATTCCTGTGCAATCTCATCAAACTGCCCTGGGTTTTGTGGTCAGCGTGACATTCTTCTAGGAATTGCTACACTTAGAAAGTGCTTCAGTCTTCTGGAAAAGTACACATTTCTTTCATTCTTGTCTTCTCCCCTTTCCTTGTATCTATTAGAAACTGTTTTAGATGCCCTTTGAGGCTGATGGGTCTGGAGCTCTCTGGTTCCTTGCCCATGGAGGTATTAGACTGCATGTCAGCTCCACCAGGATACCTGGAATTTGCTTTCAAGCAGGCATGTAAACCTTTAAAAAGATATTGATGGTCACCTTAAAGTAGGATCTATTTCCAGAGCAAATAATAATTTATTTATTGTTTGGAAATACATGCTGAGCTCCAGAGGCAGCAGTGGCACAGCCATGCCTCTCTTGTAGTCATTGGAGACCTCATCAGCAACAACCAGGAGCTCAGATGTGGGTATCCCCACAGCCTACAGGAGGGAGACTCAGCTGTTTGAGTTTAGGTATCATTATTTGAACCTCTCAGCAGGAATCAAGAGTGAATGATAGTGCTGGCTCCTAGGGAGAAATCCAGAGCTATATGAGATCATAGAATCATTTGAATTGGAAGGGACCCTTGAAGGCCATCTAGTCCATCTCCTCCCCAAGTGAAGATCAGTTTGCTCAGAGTCTGATCCAGCCTCGCCTTTTGTCTCATGGTCACAGACAGGGTGTTCATCCTGCTTTGCCCAGGGAATGCTAGCCCAGCAGCTGGGGTCAGTGCACTGCCCAAGAATTGCCTGTTTCTTTAACAGAAATAAGCTCATCAATGAAGTCCAAGATGAGAGGTCCATCAGCAAACAAACGTCCTTCAGCTTTCACAGACGGGGAGGCATCTGAGCCTCCTGCTTCATCTCTTTCCCCAGTATTGTCCCTTGAGCTTCAACTGAACACCAGTAAGGCACCTAAGCTGATTATCTTGGCCAGAAACACTGCCTTGGGAAATACCAAAGCATTCCCAGTGGTAGGCTTAGTCTGAAGCACGGCTGTGGTGAAACAGAGGAGAGAAGGAGGCCTTTCCTTGCCCGTTCCCCTTTTGCTAATGAGTACATGAGTACTCATGCAGAATGTCTTTTAGACTGACCTTGACAGTGGCAAGACTCTTCACACGCATGAAGCACTGTCTTCTGCCCTGAGAAGTAATGGGTGCCCATCTTGGATGTGCCCAAGGCCAGGCTGGATGGAGCCCTGGGCAGCCTGATCTGCTGCCCAAAGAGCTCACAGCAGGGGTTGGGAATGGATCATATCTAAGGGCTCTTCCAACCTGAGCCATGCTATGATTCTGTGCTGCTGAAGCTCCTCCCCTGTTTGTATAAAAGTTAAACACTCTCTGAGCTGAGCATCGCTGTATCTGTGGTGCTTCTCTGGTCAGAGCAAGTGATGACTTCACATTTCCTCCCCAGCAGGTGTTGGACATGTCATGGGAAATGGTCAGTCAGGGATCTGGCTGTGCTCAGTGCTGTGTGGCAGAACAGACCCTTGCGGTGACAACCATGGAAGCATCCCTTGCATTCCTCTTGTGCTTCTGCACAACGTGAGAGATTTTGCTGCCTCTCCTCCCTATGTGCTGCAGGTTTTGTTACAGCAGGACAGGTCATCTGCCTTTTTACATCAGGGGATTTTCATTAAGCATGTTTTACACTCCAGCAGTAGTTTTGGCATGGTTTATTTCTCCAGCCACGGGGCTCCTCTAAGAGGAATCCAAAGAATCTGAGGCCGTACCAGATAACAAGGATGTAGAAAAGTGTCTTTCAAGGACTTAAATCATTCATTTTACCTTGAAATAGTGTGGGGCTCAAGTGTTTCGGTCAAGAAAAAGCATCCTTTATCCACATCAACAGTAATTCAAACCCCTTCCGTGAGCGAGGGAGAACCAGTAGCAGAGGGAGTGTCCTTGGTGCTGGGCACTGACCTGGAAATGGTCACCAAAGCTGTCTTTCTTTTGTCACGAGGCAACAAAGAGGAATCACTGCTCATGGAACGAGGTGACCAGTCCCACGGTGCCAGGTTAAGTGCTGCCATTGAATCTTTGGCACTCACAGCCCAGCCGTGCTCTGGATAGTCCTGGAAAGAGCTTTGCACAAAGCAAGCCGAAAGAACAAAGACTTGGTTTTTCTCTTCTCTTTTTCTCAGTTTGTTATGTGTTTGCTTTGAAATACTCAACAACCAAACGGAAGCCTGTAGCTGGTTCAGAAGCAACAGTTCAGGAAAGTCAGCTTAGAGATTTTGCAATTTTTGCTATCTCTGCCCAGCAGTGTTCATCCTGTGTCACAAACTGTCTGTGTCTCACAGGTGTTTTCTGTTGTTTGTCACCTCATCATGTCCCATATCAGCAAAGCTCTCTGCGTGGCATGGTTGAGGCTGGTCACAAAGCTTGATGCTTGTGTTAGAGCTGCATCACACCTTGTGATGAGGTTATCACTGGGTAGCACTATCCCAGATTGTGCTTTTTTCCTCTCTTTCCTTTTTAGCTATTACTCTGCATGCTTTAAATACTTCTGGAAAGATACTCAGAGAGCCTGTGGGATCTCCATGCTTGGATGTATTCGGATGTCATCTGGGCATGGGCCTTAAGCAAAATGATGTGACTTTGAAAGTACTCAGCACTGAGCAGCTAGTTGGACTAGAACCCTCCAGAGGTCACTTCTGACCTAAATCTTTCTGTGATTTCATTATTGAGCATTTCCCTGATGTCTTTGACAGTAAGAGCAGTTAGTGAGAATGATAGAACGGATTGAGTTGGAAGAGACCTTCAAAGGCCATCAGGTCCAACCCCCCTGCAGTGAACAGGGGCACCCACAGCTCCATCAGGTGCTCAGAGCCCCATCCTACAGTAGTGTTTAGGACTGTGGTGTCAGGTTGCCCAGAGAAATGGTGGATGTCTCATCCCTGGAGACATCCAGTCAGGCTGGGTAGGTCTCTGATCACTGATAGAGCCCCATCTGATGGTGGGTGTTCATAGCAGGGGGTTGGACCTGATGGCCTTTCAGGATCCCTTACAACTCAGTCCATTCTGTGATTCCGAGAGCACCCACAGGCTGTGTGCTCATCTCAGTACAAAGCCAATCCCTACTGCAGGGCCATCTGTAGCTTGGTCTCATCTTCCTTCCAAAGCCTTTCTCTGCAGAGAGAAATGTTCTTTCTTGGAGATGGCAGGGTGCCCCATGAGATCTGTGTTGAAGAAACAGCATGTTCTGGCAAGAGCTAACAGGCTCCAGAAATGTTACCTGTGTCTTATCTTAGCACCAGCATGAGATACTGATCCCAGAAGTGTGTAAATATGGGCCCTGAATGTGGGGGACTGGGACAGTAAGGAGGGATCGAGGTTGCTGAGCACTGCCCAGTAGGGTGACACATCCACACGGTGGCCCCTGCCCCACCTGCTGTTAGCACAGCTCAGACTGCAGTGTTCCTATCTGGCCATAGGCAACACCAGGGCAGTGCAAGGGATGGGCAGCTGCCTGGATTGTCTGAAGAGCTGCTGGAAGGTCCCATTGTGCTCAGTGGGACAAGAGGCGTCTGTGGGTGTGCTATTTCCAGGGCATTCTGACTCGGCAGAAGACTCACCATTGTCAGCATGTCAGGTCAGGTTTGTGTTGCATGCTCATGCTGCTGTACACACCTCCCTTGATTGGCATGTGCAACTTGCAGACCCAGCACACCAAGCAGGAGAGAAGCTGCTTGCTTCCTGCGTCTGCCTGTTCCGTATAAAGCCTCTCTATGCAAATGTCAAAGTACAAAACCCCTACTTCCCCATGGCAAGCAAGGAGGATTATATATTGCTGGGCTGGTAGCACTTTTCTAGGAGAACAAGGCTGTGTTTGCTCCAACCCTGGGCTCATTTTGCCTGGGAATGAATGATCTCTTTCCAGTTTTCTTGCCAGAGATGCTTCCCTACGTGGTTTCTAATTATGTGAGCTGTGAAAACCTTAACTGATGTCTTCAAAAAGCAAAAACCAGGATCTCCGGACCCCTGGAGAGTTCTGCCACTGCTGGAAGCAAATTCAGTAGCTCCAAATAGCAGAAACTCACAGCTGCCTGCCTCCAGCCAGGGGATGTGGTTGTGTCCATGTAAGTACCTGACTGAGGCCTCTCTCTTTCTCTTCCAGCTCCGTCAGCTGTGTCCATCATGCACCAGGTCAGCCGCACTGTGGACAGCATTACCCTCTCGTGGTCTCAACCTGACCAGCCCAATGGAGTCATCCTGGATTATGAGTTGCAATATTATGAGAAGGTACTGTGGGACCTTGGCAGGGGTTGGCTGTAAGATTTGGGGAGAGGAGGTGGTGCAAAGGGCGTGCACGGGCTGCTGCATTTGGCTCATCAGTGTGGGTGGCACTGGCTGTCAACATTTTGGAGCAAAGTGATGGTTGCAGCTCAGTGCTTAGGCAGCGTAACTGTGTTGGTCTTTCAGGAGGAGCTTCTCCTTTCTTCACTTCTCCTGCTGATGTCAGGTGGACCCATTGCAGGGAGAGCCGGGCTGCCAGCAGCCAGGTTCAGGGTTTAATTTTTCTCTTTCCATTAGTGGGGAATGGGAACTGTAGGGTTGTCACAAAGCATGTTGTGCCAGGATGGATCGTGTTAGCCGACTGCCCAATCTTTGAGATTTTGTGTCAGTGCATTTGCACAAAAGATGAGTTTGCACCTGTGTGCAGCAGCCTCAACCCCTTTACTTGGATGTTATACCAGGGGAAAGCTGTCCCATGGAGGGAACACGTTGCACTACCAACTTAAGGTGAGGCTGGTGAAGATCCCATAGCTCTGACTCTTCATCCCCTCTTCCACCTCCTCCCAGCAGAGGAGTGGTGTCCTATGGGTCTGCCAAGGGACGTGAAGACTGCACTGATATTGGTCCCAGGACATGCCAAGCTCTGCATGACTGCTGAACTTCATCCATGCTACCAATGGAGATGGGGATTGGAGAGCAGGAGATTTCTCCTTCCAGGAATCTGCCCCTTTGCCTAAAAGCTTATAAACTATATGTTAAAAAAAAATGCAAACTAACTAATTAAAAAGCTTTATGATTAAATGGAACTGAAAATATTTTCCCAGCAGTTGCCGGAAGAAATGATTAATCCCCCCCACTGCCTGCCTCTGACCTATTTTCTCATCACCAAGAGCCAGAGGGAGAACAGGGAGGCGGGAGGAGCTTCTTCGTAGACTGTTAAATAGGTCCTGACCTATATTGCATAAATCACAGCCTTTTATTTGACCCTTGGAGATGATCCCAGAATACATGGCAAGATAGATGAGAAGGTAACAAGACGCATCTGGAAAGCAAGCAGGGTCCTTTCCCCAGGGACACTCAGAATGATCTCAGGCAGTTCATTCTACCAATCTTGTTTTCTCTTAGTCTCATCCTCTTTCTTTTTTCCCTCAGTTTTCTGAGGGAGGCTTGGCTAAAGGGCAAGCTGCTCTTCGTGGCCTGTCTTGGCAACCAACAGCAAGGTGTTCATCTACTTTCCCCTGATGTCAAATATTTGGACACAGTCTGTCCCTGATCCCAAGGACAAGCGGTCCAAGCCACACTTGGGTGATGCTTTTTATGGCAAAAGGCTTTCAGGAGGCAGTAGCACAGGCAGAGAGGACAACCCAAGCTGCCCAAGTGCTGTCACTGCAGCTGTCTCTTCCTGGGCTTTGAACTTCTAATGTACGTTTTTTTGGTATCTGTTTTACTTCCAAGAGGCACACTTGATCAGATACCTGACTGGGATTGGAAATGTAACAGCTGGACTGGATGATCTTAGTGGTCTTTTCCAACCTTAACGATCCTTTGATTCTATGCTTTTGAGATACCCCTGGACCCAGTTGCTCAGTGATGTTACCCAGAAAAGTATGAAGTTGTGGGCCCCAAGGATCCATCCCAGGAGTAACCATAGTGACCCTCCTACATCCGAGCATCCCTCCTAATGCATTTGATCCCAAGGGGGCTGAAATTCACATTTGTGTTATTATTTGGCATCCAGCCTTGGACTTGCTTTGTACGTGTGACTCTGTTTGCTTCAGGAACCACAACAGATTGCTGCTGTGCAGATGCAGAGAGGAACTGCCTGCCAAATTAAGTTGGTTGACATTTTTCTTTGCTTTTTTTTTGGCTGATAAAACATGACTTTTTAGAAACCATTTCTGCAAATCCTTCAGGCGTTTTCACAGTCTATGCGTGTTTCAAGAAACTCTTTGTTGATCAGACTTCAGTTTCAGAATGGATTTGGCTCAGAGGGAGAAGAACCAGATGAGGACACTAAATGAAGTCTATCAGGAAGTTAGAAGTTTGTTATTCTCAAACTCAAAGCAAAATCATCCAGAAAAGCCCTGCAAAAGTGAGGTTGGAGAAACGGCAAAGGAACATAGCCTTTAAACCACCTGGACGTGCTGGAGAAGCTCAGAAGGGTGAAAGGAGAGGAGTGTTTGAAAGGAACAAGCAAGCTGCTGAAAGGATGATGTCTGAGCAATATGCCAAAGGCAAAGAGTAGGTTTATTAAGAGATTTACCAAGCCATTTTTAAGTCTTAGCCCTGTTAGGCTTGAGGGAAAGTGCTACAGAGGTGTGAGGAGAGTGATTAAACTGCAGTCACCCTCTACCTGATTCCAGCCATGGAAATAATAAATAAATGCTCTTTCCTTGCACAAGGGGGTTAGAGAACATAGGTATGAGAATACCTTTCTCAGACATTCATTTCCTAGCCTATAAACCATCTTGTAAGCATATCTGTGGCATTCAACTTAAAATCCTCCAGGATGACAGTGTGGGGATGAGGTACTCTCAAACAGTTGGACAGATGATTTTAAAACAACTGTGGTGTTAATGCCATCCAAGGGCCTGGGAGGTTTCATCCAAGCCCTTGGGCAGTAAAAATGAAAACACTTCCTGACCTACTTCTCTCCTTGCCTTCCTGGGAAAGATCCATGGGAGTCTGAGGCCTTTCACACAAACAAGGCAATCAGTTTTCTGTGAGCTCATTTTTTCTTGATCATCTTTGTAATTGAGCTTCTTGAGCATGCCAGAACCCCTAAGTCCTTCTCCACAAGGCTGCCCTCTATGAGTTCTTCTCCCACTCTGTACACATACCTGGGATTGCCCCAACCCAGTTGCAACGTCTTGCACTCAGCCTTGTTCAACCTCATTAGGTTCTTATGGGCCTACTTCTTGAGCCTGTCCAGATCCATTTGGATGGCATTCCTTCCTTCTGTTGTATCTACTGCACTGCTCAACTTGGTGCCATCAACAGACTGCTGAGGGTGCTTTTGATCCTGCTGCTTATGTCACTGATAAAGGTGTTAAAGAGCACCATTCCTAAGATGGACCCCTAGGGGACACCACTCATCACTGGCCTCTACCTGGATGTAGAACCACTGACTGCAACCCTCTGGCTGCAACCATCCAACCAATTCTTTATCCAGTGAATAGTCAGGTTGAAATACCCTAGAAGGATGAGAGTGAGTGTGATGCTTCTTGTAGCTGAAGCAAGAAGGCTTCATCCATAGATTCCCCTTGATCCGATGCCCTGTAGTAGACCCCAACCACCAGATGTCTTTTTTTAGTCCAGTCCTTAATTTTTGCTCACAAACTCAACCCGTCTGTGGCTATTTCTGAGGCAGCTCTTAGCAATCTATCCATTTCTTAACATAGAGGGCAATTTGCCCATTTCGCCTTCCATTCTAAAAAGCCCTCGATTGTTGTGGTCCTGTTTTGTGAATGGTCCCACCAATGTTTCCATGATATCAATTAGGTCATAGTTTCCTAATTGCACTGTGGCTTCCAACTTCCTGTTCATTTCCTATGCTGCATGCATTGGTGTAGACAGAAGTCTTTCTGTTGATACAGCCCAGGATGCAGTTGGCCTTCTGGGCTGGATCTTGCTCTGATCTACCTCATGTTAACATGAAACAAGAAGAAGACAGGAGGAATCCCTGCCACCCAATGGAGTTTCACAACCACAGGTCCCACTTGATGGGGTTATGCAAACTGTATCTTTGTGGCTTCTTTCTGCCAGTCCTTGTCTAAAATCTCATGAGAAGTGAGGTACCTCTCCTGACTGGTGATTCTGTGCTTGGTGGGCTTGCCAAGCCCCTTGCAGTGACTTGAAGGCAGCAGTTCTCAGTGACTCACTTGCAAACTTGCCAGGATTTTTAGCTGATCTGTTCCAACCAGTGACCCCACCAAAGCAACCTCACCTGCCAGATAGGAGGTGCTACTGAAAAGGATAAATTGGGTGAATAACCACACAAAAAGGGGCGGAATAGAAATTTGGAATTTCTGTACTTCTCATCACTGCAGTGTCTGATTCTGATGCAGTATCCAGAACCTTGACTCTCTTTTCTGATGACAGATGTATATTTTCTTGGCAGAATCTGAGTGAGTTAAATTCAACAGCAGTGAAAAGCCCCACCAACACTGTGACAGTGCAAAACCTCAAAGCTGGCACAATCTACGTCTTCCAAGTGCGAGCACGTACCGTGGCTGGGTATGGCCGGTATAGTGGCAAGATGTACTTCCAGACCATGACTGAAGGTGAGTCTTCAACTGCCTCTGCATAAACATGAAACAAGGTCTAGAGAGCCTTGAACAAGATGGAGGTGCACTGGTTGCAATACTAGTCCCTTCCTGATAATCCCATCAAAGGTGCATTGATAACTCACCTGGGTTTATTCAACCTGGTAAGCACTGGAGAAAGATATGGGTACTTGGTATTCCATGCAGGGAATCATATAGTCTAGGCCAACTTCTGCCAAGCTTTTCTGGCATGGGCACCTGCCCGTTCAGTTGGATTTAAAGGAAATGGAATTTATGATGTTCATCTGCGGAGCTGTTGATGACAAATGTGTTTTGGGTCTCTACTTTCTACATTTGTGCAGCTAAATAAAACAAGCCAAGCCAGTTTTCTAGCCTTGAGGCCAAGTAGCAAGGCACAGCATGCATCCACAGGACTAAACATTCCCACCCAAAAAGGATAGCTCCATCCAACCTTCCTGTTTGAGAACATCCTCTGTCAGAGCCAACATGAGACATGCTCCGGACATAGCTAGCCCAGACAAAAACCACACCAAGAAGCACCATAGCAGTAGCCATGCAAATATAGGCCATCCTTGATTAATGTCAGTCCATGCAGTAACTCATTCCCTTTTCCTTTCAGCCGAGTACCAGACCAGTGTCCAGGAGAAGCTGCCACTCATCATTGGCTCCTCTGCAGCAGGACTGGTGTTTCTCATTGCTGTTGTTGTCATCATTATTGTGTGCAACAGGTAGGTCAGTCTGAGAGCACCACTTGAGGTCCTCTGTACTGGGGCTGTGCAGAGGGATGGCAGCTAGAGATGGAGGGTGGCTGGGGTAGAAGTTGGAGAGGATGGAGATGGGCATGTTAAGTGTTCAGGAGTTGAGTGTCAATGAGCAGTCACAGGCATGGGCTGATGGTTGAACTGTGTGATCTTAATGGTCTTTCCAGCCTTAATGATTCTATGATCCGTGTGAATCCTTCCAATTTGGGATACTCTGTTATTCCATGAAGTGGGGGAAGAGTGCATTTCAGCGCATTTCTCAGCTGAGCTGTGCACATTGCTCAGGACTCCCTTTCTTTCCAGAAGACGGGGCTTTGAACGTGCCGACTCTGAGTACACTGACAAGCTGCAGCACTATACCAGTGGCCACAGTACGTACCGTGGTCCCCCGCCAGGCCTGGGGGTCCGCTCTCTCTTCGGTTTGTGTTCCTGTTCACTCATTCCTTGTGTTGTACGGGGAGGGCTCAGGGTCCTTAGCCAGGCAGATTTGTGCATGTGAAGACAAGAGGATCCTTGTGCTAGTCAGAGCTTCCAGAAGCATGGCCAGGTCCTTCTTTAGAAAGCTCCTGTCTAACAAGGCTAAGCTTTTCCAGGAAACTACTGGAGAAATCTGGACTGCATGTTTGGCTTATGCCTGCTCGCCCTCCACTTCTTCCCCCCATCCCTGTTCATTGAAGGGGTGTTGGGCTAGATGGCTTTCAGAGCTCCCTTCCAACTCAAAGGATTCTATGATTCTGTGCTCTCACTGTGCACTGCTGAAACATGCCTCTGGTTCCCCACACCCTTCCTAGACACTGGCTGTAGCAGCCTCGTGCATTTTGAACCAGCATATTGCATCCCCTAAAACCAAAGTTTGGCATTTGTTGCTTGGATCACCCACTTGCATCATCTAGATCTCCTACCTGTCCTCTGTGATCTCTGCCATGCTCTGTAGAGTTTGTGCTCTCCAAACCTGCATGGTTTTGGATACCAACAATGAAGTGGGCACCCATGCATGCCCAACAAACTTCTGCAACATCAAACAGAAACCCTTCCACATGCCCCCAGAACTCCCTCTCCTGCTGTGAAGCCTCCATCACCACACCTTGTCTTGCTGCTCAGATTCTGAGCTTTTCCCAACTTGTGGGCAGCAGAGATATCCTTCCCTGCTTCCTATGGAGCACTGTCCTCCTGCAGGAGCTCACATGGTGCCTTTGCCATTGACCGTCCCACTGCTTCCAAAATCCTAGTAAATATGACCTATCTTATGTTTTTTTGCAAATATATGGCATGCTATGCATTGAATCTATATGTATTGTAGGTATTTTTGGATCTGTAGAGTTCTATATCTACATATGGAGATTGAGATTAATATAAGGAAGAATGTTACAGTGAGGATGGTGAGGCACTGGCACTGGTTGCCCAGAGAGGTGGTGGTGCCCCATCCCTGCAGACACCCAAGGAGGGGCTCTGTGCACAGATGGGGCTGTGGGTGTCCCTGTTCATTGCAGGGGTGACAGACTAGATTTAGGGTCCCTTCCAACTCAAACTATTCTACATAATAGATACAGTACATAACATGCCCTCTCTTGCAGCTTGTCTCTTTGACATCCTCATGCACTACAAGGCACTCCCTCACATCCAGCATTCCTGCTTCCAACCTCTCTACGCACCCTGCCTCACCCTCATTCTCCTCACCAGCCCTTGGCTTCATGCCCTCCAAAATGCCTTTTTCCTTCCTACCTAGAGATCTGTCACTAAACTTCTGCTTTGTTCCTATCTCAGTTGTTATGTACATCATGTTATGTTTGCAGCTTCGGGATGTTTGTACTTTGTTCCTTTACAGACATTGGGCTTTATTCTGAAAATGGTCATGCCTGGAGAATATCAGTAGTATTTTGGCACAGGGCTCACTGGTGTTTCTGCCCTTACCTTGGAAACATTTTCCATAAGGCAGAGCACAGAACGGTGACTCCATGCCAGAACAGCATTGTGCTGGCTGCATTGCTATAACTTACCACTAAAAATGACACTCTTCAAGAAAGATTATGTAAATGCAGCTCTCAGTTGTTTGTCAGTCCTTGCTGCATGTGTAAACATACATTCTCACTTTCTGCCGGGGTCTGGTGTGCAACATGACAGCTTCAGGCTGGGATGGCATTAATAGCTGTGCCTTCACAACTGTCACAATAGGAGAGGTGCCACCAGATACAGACGGACTGATAACAGGCCTGGGGTGCCTTTTAGCCACATCACTCAAGACACCAATCCAAGGCATAGTTCCTCCTCTGTTTCCCAGCAGTGATTGCTGTAGAGAGGCTACACTTATGCTTAACAGATTGCTAAGGCATAGGCAACCTTAAAGTCCTTAGCATTGCAGCAGCTTGCCTGTATAGGTCTGACCATCATCTTACATCTGGACCTGGGAGTTGTGCTTCTACTTCTGTGGTCTCTGCTCTACAAATACTTCCAATGTGGGGACTTGCCAGAACTCAGGATTGTGGTATAAAGCTGTTCTAGGCTATAGGTAGCAGTCAGGAGAGCAGGGGACAGACTGGGCTCTGTCCTGATTGCACTTCCCATGGAAGGATCACAGAGTCTCTAATAGAGGGGTCAGTCTTATGGCTGTACAGTAGTACCAGGCACCTTGGAGCCACCTCTGTGTAGAAGAGAATCAGCATGTGCCTCCATTTATGTCTCAAGGCAACCCTCACCATCTCCTGGATTAGGTCCTGGTCTACCTGAGCCCAGGTCTTCTCTGCTTTCCCATGTACCTGATGTGATGGTCTGCTGAGGAGGAAGCAGATGCAGGGAAGGCCAACGGGGCCGAGCAGACGAGCAGCTCCCTGCTAACCCTCTGCATACACATGCATTACTGTGCACAGAAACATGCACACACACAAATGTACTCACACGCATGTATGCATACATGGATATACATGTAGTCATGGGCACACAGTCCCATGTAGGCACACACAACCCCATGTGCACCCACAGATAGATTTCTCTTGATGTCAAGTTATGTCACTCCCGTTGTGTCTGTCTGTCTGACTCTCCTTCTACTTTACACAGTGACTCCAGGGATGAAGATTTATATTGATCCGTTTACCTACGAGGATCCCAATGAGGCTGTCAGGGAATTTGCAAAAGAAATTGATATCTCCTGTGTGAAAATCGAGCAGGTGATTGGGGCAGGTAGGTGAACTGGGCATGTTGACTGCGTCCCACAGTCTTGATGAGGATTTAGCCTTATATGTACCAGGAAAACTAACGTGAAATAAGGTTTTATGCTTAACTACAGCATTCCTGGACTGGCAGGCACATGGTGGTCTCAGGAGCACATCCAGTGTCCGTAGTGCCCAGTGCTTCTCACCAAAGGATGAATTCTCCTGGAGCTCACTGCTGGAGTCCCAAGGAGTGGGGTCCCTCAGGAGTTAGGCAGAGCTCTGGAAGGCCAACCTGTTTCTCTCTGTTCACAGGGGAATTTGGTGAGGTGTGCAGTGGGCATCTCAAGCTTCCTGGCAAAAGAGAGATCTTCGTGGCCATCAAGACTCTGAAGTCTGGTTACACAGAGAAGCAGAGACGGGACTTCCTGAGTGAAGCCAGCATCATGGGGCAGTTTGACCACCCCAATGTCATCCATCTGGAGGGAGTGGTGACCAAGAGTTCCCCAGTCATGATCATTACAGAGTTCATGGAGAATGGCTCATTGGACTCCTTCTTGAGGGTATGAAATCCCAGGTTCAGAGGAGGACTGGAGGGGGAGATTTCTTCTTTGTGCCAGTATAACTTGTCCTTCACTGCCCACTGGGGAGGTCTGTGGTCTCAGGAGAAGTGGTGGCATGAGGGCTGTCATCTTATGTGTCCTCAAGATTGAACCAAGCCTTACTTTTTTAATACAATTACATAAATCAAAGGTCCAGCTTTAAAGAAAAAGGAAGCTTTCCCAGTGCCTTTGAAGTAATCTGTTACTCTTTCACTCCTATGTGTGGCATCTAGGTCAGGTCATCTTGTCCTGGTCATAATGGTATTGTGTGGAGTTGGGCTCCATAAATAGAGCCAGGAGTTGGACTCAGTGATCCTTGTGGTCTCTCCCATCTCGGGGTATTCTGTGATTCTATGTGTTTGTACACTTGTACTAGAGGAGTGTTGCTCGTTTCAGAGCAACTCCTTTACAGACATGGAGGTGAGTTCTGCCAGATCTTTTACACAGCAGGGCTTCAGCTCCAGCTACTGTGTCTAAATATTTACAGGCCTGAGTCTGACATGAATAATTCACGTGTGGAATGAATGTTGAATTCACTTGCTTAATAGGAATAGATTACCCTTCCAAACCCTTCTGTGCAAGGTGTGGCAGACCTGTCACCTTTGGATGTCAGCAGCCATTGGTATTGGTGCCTGTAGGGCATGTGAGGGTGACTTCCAGCCCTTGTGAGCTCTCAGCTCTCCCCTCTCTTTCTTTGAGAGGGAACTGTGGTGCTGGTGGCATAGCTGTGTCTTGACATGTGATGTAAACAAAGACTACTGGCTGTTTCCCTGCTCACAACAGGCTGTAGATTTGCACCTCTCATGTCGATTCTTTCCTTTTTTCCCTAAGCAAAATGATGGGCAGTTCACGGTGATCCAGCTGGTGGGCATGTTGCGTGGCATTGCAGCAGGCATGAAGTACCTGGCTGATATGAACTACGTGCACCGGGACCTGGCTGCCCGCAACATCCTGGTCAACAGCAACCTGGTCTGCAAAGTGTCTGACTTCGGCCTCTCCCGTTTCCTGGAGGATGACACCTCTGATCCCACTTACACCAGTGCACTGGTAAAGCTGCTTTTCCACAGCAGGAGGGATGGGTGGGGTGGAAAAGAGTGAGGGAGAAGTCTCCTGTTGATGTTAAGAATGCTTTTCTCAGGGTACCAACAATGGGAGTAATGTGCCAAGTGGGAAATACCGATTGAATGAATGAAGGAAGATCTTTTCTTGCAAGTTTGTGCCCAGTTGTTATTCCAGCAGCTGTCGATAGACCTTATAATCATACCTGTGGAGAAGACTTTCTTGATCATTAAGACTGCAACCAGTAGTTTTCCTGGATACTATCTTTTGCAGAGGCAGACAGCATCACCCCACTGCAATGCCTGTGAGACATGTTCTTGGAAATAATTGTTGATAGAGCTGGGGCATGATCTGTAGGAAATGATCCCTCCCAGATCTCTTGGAGTGAGAAGATGTCAAGCACAGCTCTTCATGAATTGTAACAAAGGCTGAATGCCTAAACCTGAAAGTTTTAATTCTTTTTTATTCTGCTTCTGAGGTAGATGACAGCTAAAGGATGGGAGGAAGATTCAAAAGGAATTCATTTGATTTTTTCCAATTTAACAGTCATTCATTGCCAGCACAATGGACATTCTGACATGCCAAGGATTACTATAACTGTAGGCAGGTGGAAAGAGCTGAGCTTGTTTAATATGGTGAAAAGAAGGCTGAGTGCCCTCCTAAAAGTGACCTGTAGTACTTGAAGAGCAGCTAGGAAGAAGTCAGAGCCAAACAGTTTTCATTGGTACCCTATGATGTAACAAGGAGCAATAGACAAAATCATAGCGTGGGACATTCAGGTTGAATAATAGGAAGAACTTCTTCCCCGGGGGCTTGGTGCAACCCTGAACAAGTCACCAGACAGATGAGGAGGATCATCAACCCTGAAGGTTGCCAGGAGCTGGCTGGACAAAGCCATTCCCAACCTGTTGATAGGGATAGTTGAGAGGTCCCTTCCTTCTAGGATTTTATTGATATATCAGACAAAAGTGTTTTGGACACATCTCCTTCAATTGCTCTTTGTTTTTCTGCTGCTATCCTCTCTTAGTTGTTTGTTTTTCCCTGCAGGGTGGGAAGATCCCAATACGGTGGACAGCACCCGAGGCAATTCAATACCGAAAATTCACATCAGCCAGTGATGTGTGGAGCTATGGAATAGTCATGTGGGAGGTGATGTCGTATGGCGAGCGACCTTACTGGGATATGACCAATCAAGATGTGAGTTGTTAAGAAATCAGGAGCAGAAACACTGAAATCAAGAGCAGATTGCAAGGCAAAGGCATGGTTGTATCTGGACAAGGCCTGTGGCACGTCCAGAACCCTCTCTGTCATGGGAGAGGTGTCCACAGTCAACATCTTTCAGGATTCTTGTTTTATTGTCTCTCTGATGAGCAGTCCTTCATGCTCTCTAGGCCTCAGATACCCTCAGGATAAAACATCAAGGTCTTGGGTAGACCCTTTGGTGTGCAGAAAGCTTGTCTACCTCTCTTCTGCAAGCCTGGGTACGAAAACCTTTATATAGCAGCATCTTCCTGACCTCCAGTTTGTTTCAGAACTGCCTCTGGGAAGTAAATGAGAATCCTCTCTACTGCCACCTCTATTCTACCATTCTGTGGGCTCTTCAGTCTTTGGGCTTCCCACCTGGTTCTCTCAACTCCTCCCACCCCAATGGCAAATTAGACATTATTCAGGTCCATACAGCTCCATCCATACAATGTCAGGTTCAGAGAAGGGCAAATTCCTCCTCATTGCCTAGTGGGGAATTTGTTGAAACGAGTTCTTAGTGCCTGAAGCATGGCTTCCTTGTCCCAGTAAAATCTTTACATCAGTTCTGTGTGACAAAGAGAAGGATGTTAAGTGTTAGGCCCTTCTCAGAAAGGCCTCATTCACATTTGGGTTTCATTATCACTTTCAGTTTCAAGCATTTACTGCAGACATGTCACTGCCCTTCTCCCTGCCTTGGCATCCCACCGTGCACTTGGCGTTCTGCTTTCCCCCACTCATATCATTGTTCTCTCCCTTCTGCCCTGCACCTCTTCCCTTACAGCTTCCTACCTCCATCACACAGCTGGTGGGGATGTAGAGCCCACGCCCATCTCCTCAGTGCAGCTTGCTGCATGCTGGCTGCTCCCCTGCCTCCCCAGCCTCTTCTCCCCCTTCTTGTGCCGCAGGACATCATGCCCCAGAAACTGTCACCACTTAATTGCAGCTGATGCTCCCTGCAAATTAGCACATGGCAGATACTCGCTGCAGTTTAGCCTCCTGACCCTTGGGTGTGGGAGTCTGGGGAGGCAGGGGAAGGAAAAAGGGATGGAGAGTGCAGGCTGTGCCCCCTCGCGGGGTGTATCTGCTGGCTGCAAGGCGAGTGGTCCTTAGGAAATCATTCAGTCAGTGCCAGAGCCAAGTGCTTGATGGTGTGGGCTCTCTCCAGTCCTTCCCCAGGAGGGTGTCTTAGGTAGCTCACCAGAGGAGTACTTAGAAGTGTGCAAGACAAATCTATGGCGGCCAAATTCAAGGAATGAGAACAGACAAAGATCCTTCTACCAGAGTGACAGGGAGCTGAGGTTTCCTCTTGAAGAAGATTCCTTCTGCGTGTGCTGTTTCCATTATATGTGGCAAGACCATGTATTTTCCCAGGTCCCTTGGTGAAGCAGGGAGACACCAAAGAAGCATCAGGCAAAGCCTTCTTCTCACCTTGACAGTCACCCTTAGGAGCTAAGAAAAGAAGCATGAAGTGTTAAAAGAGTGCCACTTTGGCCTACTCCTCCATTCAGGGATGAAGATGTTATTGCCACTCTATTGATTTCACTTTCTCTTGTTGCAGGTGATAAATGCTATTGAGCAGGACTATCGGCTGCCACCCCCTATGGATTGTCCAAATGCCCTGCACCAGCTAATGCTTGACTGTTGGCAGAAGGATAGAAACCACAGACCCAAATTTGGACAGATTGTCAACACTTTAGACAAAATGATCCGAAATCCTAATAGTCTGAAAGCCATGGCACCTCTCTCCTCTGGGTATGCCTGCTGTCTTACTGTCTTTTGGTTTCTGTTTGCAGAGCTGCTGTTGTTTGTGGCCTGACAGGCATCATCCTTGCATCTCTCCCAGATAGCTGTTGTAAAAACTGCTTGACCTATGTTGTTTGCTCCTGTATAGAGGATCAGTAAAAGGTGCCAGGGAAGCACCAAGCATTAAAGCCACTCTTGTCCCTCTCCTATGGACTGAGTAATGCTGGTCCAAGTCATTCCAGCCGATGGAAGGTGCAGAAATACATGTGCTTGCTTGCCATTGCTTGTTGTGATCATTCTCTATTTCTGTGTTTCAGGGTTAACCTCCCTCTACTTGACCGCACAATCCCAGATTATACCAGCTTCAACACTGTGGATGAATGGCTGGATGCCATCAAGATGAGCCAGTACAAGGAGAGCTTTGCCAGTGCTGGCTTCACCACCTTTGATATAGTATCTCAGATGACTGTAGAGTAAGTGCCCAGGCTTCTAGTCCCAAAGCACAAGGAAAGATCTCAGTGGTTTAACAACTGGTCGCTAATTGAGTTTATTTTCTTTTCGCATTGTTTATAGATTTGTTACCTTGTAGACCCACTTTTGGTCTGTTCAATTTCTGCAGAACTGTCTCTATTCTTCAGGCAGTCTTGCATCCAGATTTTGTTCATCTGTTGCTCTATATCTGCAGAATTCAGTCCCGTGTTCTCACACTGCATACCCCCACTGTGAATATGAAAACTGCCATTAGTGTCTCCAAACCCCTCCATGGAACAAATGGAGATTTTACAGTGGCATCAGGCACTTCTCCAACCACTGGAGAGCACTTCAGGACTCCACAGTCCTTTTGCATGTCTGGCTTATAGGCAAAGGAGACAAACATGCTACAAAAAAATTCTGGTTAAGAAAAGCCTCTGGAAGTCCACATGGTTTCACTTTGTTCTGAATTGTCCTGTATGCACTAAAAACTTTCCTCAGTGGCAAAATTTTAGCAAGTTCTTCAGAGGAAGCAGCTGAAATCTATTTGTGGTAGTTTTTGAAATCCCTGGGGCCAACTGAGGCTTTGATGCCTCTCGGGAAAGATTTGTAGTTGGTTGCAGTTAGCTTTAGAAACCCTTGCCAGGAAAGCACCAAGCATTAAAGCCATGTGTAAGCGCTGTGATGTCTCTGTGCCTGGTAACTAGGAAGGTTTCTTGGAATTGATGCCTAATTTCACACTTTAAAACTATCACTCAATCAGAATGCGTTCACACAAACAGCCAAACTGATCATTTTTGGGTTTTTTTGCTCTTACTTGCTGCCAGGAAATTCACATCGCAATTCTGACTGTTTCAGTGTATCCATGGTACAGCCACGGAGCTTTGGGGGTGATTTTGGGACTGTATAGGTTGTGTTCACACTACAGGAAGATGTAAATGTGAAAGATAACGAAGAACAACTTCAACCAAACTGGGACATCAGACCCATATCACAACCCAACCTTGCTAGATTTGGTGGATTTTATGCAATGTATCTGTTGTATACATTGCAGCCAGGCTAATGAAGTCAGTGTTTTTCTTGGATGTGCTCAGTGTCCATTAAATGCTACTCTTCGAAGTACCTTACCACATCCCTCACAATATCTTCCAAGTCCTCTCTGTGTGCCCTCAGCTCATCCTCGTGTCCCTATCACTTTTGACAAGCCTCCTTTCCACATTTCTCACCTGGTTGGGTGGGCAGAATAATAGAGATGGTAGTCCAAATCCTTTGTCCTTGGAAAATCACGATACATTACTTGAGACCACCTTCTAAGGATTGCTGGTCTTTGCAAAAGTACCTCATTCTATCAGTGGAACTGAACTGCCATAAGACCCTCTTGAAACTGGGATAGCCAGCAAAGTTTAAATGTTTACTGAAAACAACTTCAGTGTACCAAATGCAGGTGATTTCAGTGCTGATCTACTTGAATGTGAACCTAACAAGGTTGAACAAGGCCGAGGGCAAGGTGTTGCACTTGGGTCAGGGCAGTCCCAGATACGAGTATGGACTTGGAGTAGAACTAATTGAAAGCATCCCTGTGCAGAAGGACTCGGGGGTCCTGATGGATGAAAAGCTGGACATGAGCCAGAGTAAAGACTGGTTTTTATTCCTAATCAGAGTAAAAGCAGAAATCAAACTGCCAGACTCTTCCAACAGGAAATGTTCCCTTTTCTTAGCTCAGCATATTTGGCACACAGAGAAGGGAGTGGAAAGCAGCGAGGCGAGTAGTCACTGTAAGGACACCACCCTGGTGCCAGGGTTGTGTAGTGCACAGACAGGTTTCCAGTTGCTTTGCTGAGCAGAAATTTGAATGGCAGCAAAGCTGTGGCCTGGGTGCTCACTCTCCCACCACTCTTAGAGACTGAAGGGTGCTTTGACAGTGGTCTGTAGCCAGAACATGTAATCTGTGGCACAGATCCATCCTCAGCTTTCCTTCTTCATTCCTTCTTCCTCCTTGTGTTTGACCGGAGAGACAAGGTGTAGAGCAAGCACTAAAGCAAACACCAGCTCATTTGCCACTTGTTCTAAAGGATTTTCTTCCACATTTCCTCGGAGTTTCCATTTGCCCTGCTTTGCCCATTGATGCCCACTCTTAAAATTCTGTTCCTAACACTGAAGGAAAGAGAAAAGGCCATTGAAAATCTTTAAAGTAAGACACAAATGGCATCTTACGAATGCCATCCATTCTCTGATCAAAAGATTCATGACTGAAATTTCTCCACCAGCAGGGAGATGAGTAGCAAACTCAGCTGGAGTGATCACAGATAGCACTAATGCAGAGTAACACTCACGCTCTTGATGTGAGCTTTATCTTCCCCAGATGCCTAATATCCATCAAAAACAGCAGCAGTGCAAAAATTAGATTGCCACGCTTCAGAAAAGAGGATAAGTAGCAAAAGTTTATCACTTCATGGCCTCATCAGAACAGTGTGGTAGATGTGGTACTTTGGTCATGGTTTAGTGGGCAGTATTGGTGATAGGTGGATGGACTGGAAAGATTTTAGAGGCTGTTTCCAACCTGAATGATTCTGTGACTCTGATAATTCAAGAGTAACAAAAGCACTCATCATCTTCACACAGGGAGTAACATTCGTGTATCACCTCCTGTTCATCCATCTCCAAGGATGGAAAAAGTAGGTTTCTAATTCCTATCTGACACAACGGAAGGGAGAATCCAGACTTTCAAGAATCCAAACAATACAAGAATAGAAAACCTAAAGCTTTTCAAAGACCAATTCACTTAGAAGCAGTAAGCAAAGCACTGCATTGGCACTCAGTATTGAGGTTTCCAGTACTTGGGGGGGTGCTGCAGTTACGTTGAAAATGCAAAGATTGAGAGGTTCAACCAGGAGAAGACAAGGCAGAGGAGTGGAGTTTTCACCTAGCTCTCATTCATCCATTGCATTTGTGGGAAAAGTGCTACAGATACAGTGTGGAGGCTACATCTCCCAGCATAGCACGCTCCAAGGGGATGCTCATGCGTAGCCTTGTTCTGATGCACTTTCTGATCTTTGCTGATGTTTATGTGGTGTTTGTTTCTTTCCTCCCCAAGGGACATTCTACGAGTTGGGGTCACTTTAGCAGGACACCAGAAGAAAATTCTGAACAGTATCCAGGTGATGAGAGCACAGATGAACCAAATTCAGTCTGTGGAGGTTTGATAGCGACGTGTCCTCGTGCTCCACTTCCTTGAGGCCCTGCTCCCCTCTGCCCCTGTGTGTCTGAGCTCCAGTTCTTGAGTGTTCTGCGTGGATCAGAGACAGGCAGCTGCTCTGAGGATCATGGCAACAGGAAGAAATGCCCTATCGTCGACAACGAGAAGTCACCAATGAGGTGAAACAATGGAAAACAATGGAAAAAGGGAACAAGAAAAGACAGCTTATTTTGAAAACAAACAAACAGTGAATTATTTTTAAATAATAATAAAGCAATTGCAGTCTTGAAAAGGGCTCCAAGACCAATGGGAGTCTTCAAAGGAAGAGAATAGAGCAGCTTCATCTATTTCCTCTTGCACAAGGGTTGCTGCAGCTGGGCCCAGACACCTCTGGAGTAATGAGACTTTTCAAGAAGATGAATGCAAAGAATGGTCACAAGAAGCACTTCTCTTTCTCACATGGGATGGCAGCTCTGGGAAAGCCCAGCAGTCCTTCCTGAAAGCCCTGTTGGCCAATCGAAGAGGAGAGCTGAAGCTCTTTGGTGCTGTGGAACCAAGTGCATCTCAGAAATTGTTGGACTTCTACAAAAGCTGAAGACATTCTTTTTTTTTAAACAAGTAAACTGATACTAGAAGAGGCTGTTTCCGTCAGATGAGAAGGAATCTGTAACACTGGGGCGGGGGGTTGGGGAATGGGGGAAATCAGTCCTTTTTACATCTCTTTATTTTCTCTTGTCATGGAACAGTTTTGTGAGTGACAGTTTCCTAAGGGTCCGTCCATCCACCCTCCAATGGCATCATTGTTTCATACATATCATATGCACAAGACTTATAGTGATGTCCTCACTCGATGCCAATGATCTTTCCCCAGAAGACTTCCCAAGTACAGTATGTAGTAGATTTTGATTACAAATGCTGATGTGTACCTTTATTTTTCGGTTGTCATTGTTGGGAGATTCGTCCTTTTACCTTGCTTTGTTAACACCAATATGTGAGTTTGGGGTTGGAATTTTTTTGGTCGATTGGGGTGTTTTGTTTTGTTTTGTTTTGTTTTTTAACGAAAAGGAAACAACATTTCCAAGCATCATATCATTCAAGAACTTAAATCCTTTCCTTGCGGAAGGAAAAATTGTTTATTGACAATATGCCAGGAGAAAAAGTTTTTTATATGCACATTTCCTCATGTTTGTTTGTTTGTTATTTTGCAATTCGTTTCGACCTGACAGGTGTTCCCAACTGTTGGGTTTCCTGTTGTCTGATGAGATGAAAATCACCTGCTCAATTCAGGGTTGTTGGTGCAGTGATGAGCAGTATTATGGAAGGGTTATTGCTTTTGTTTTATAGAGGGGAGGGAAAGATGGGAGGGTAGTTGTGTTCTGAGTGGGAATGATGGCTGTTAGAGCCTCTTGGAGATGTCTGCTTAGAAAGATGTCAAGGTTGGTTGGTGCACATGGTTTCTAGCTGCAAGGTTGTGGGTGCTTTGTACCATAACCAAGCTCTGTGGTGGTGCTTTTTGCCCTTTGGACACACAGTCCCTTTGTTAGGCAATGCCCAGTTGGCTCAGAGCATCATCTCAGCCCGTTGCCTCTAGAATAACACAGGAGAGCAAACGTTGAGTCCAGGTCTCTGTAGGAAAATGCCATGGTTGAAGCTCAATGACCAGATGGTGGGTTTATAAATAACAGAAATAAATATTTTAGCTATTGAACAGCTCCTTGATAGGTATAAACACCACCAAGCAAGTGCAGGGCGAGTAGAAATTACAGTAATGGGATTGTTGTCCCTGTTCAGCACCACCTCATGTCTCCTTAAACATGCCTACCAGCCTCCATGGCAGGGGTCAGCTGCCCACATGTGGCACATTTGCACACATCTGAACCTGTGTTGATAAACTCTCCTCTGCCATTGGCGTGTCATTCATAGAGTCCTGCGCCCATGTTCAGCAGCATGGGGTGCTGGAAGGCATGCACTGGGAGCTGGTTTGTTGTGTTGTCCAGGAGCTGAATCCAAGAGGAAAGCTGTAGATGGAACTCCCTGTTCAGACCTCAGTGGCCAGACATCACTTTTCTAAATAAGTGGCCATTTATAAAGTACTCAGCATTTTCTGCTTTCAGATCAGATCAGATGGGACAGCACATATAAGTGGCAGCAGAGCATTTCCTGCAACTGAGAGTTACTCCTCTGCTATCTCCTTTACTTGCCCTACTGCCTCCTTTGGGGCAGAATCTGATGTAGAGAGAGTTTGGAGTGAGTGGACAACAGGCATTGTATGCAGGCATGACCTGGGCATTTCAGCTGTCCTATATGCAGTGTGTGTAGTGTGTGTATCTAGCCGAAAGGATGTTTTGAATGCCCTTGAATTCAGAAAGCATTGCTCCAGATCACGAAATGAACTCAGTTTAAAGAGCAGGGTGCAAAAACTGACAGTGTCAACTGAACAGAGTGCTGTCAGAGGGCACACGAGGAAAGAAGAGCCTTCTCCATGCCACCTGTCCCATAGAACTGCTCACGTGGGGGTCTCTGCCTCGCGCTGTAGTGGCTGTGCTTTAACAAGGAGCTGTTGTCAGCTCCCAGAGGCATGGCTTTCCCAAAGGTCTCAGAATCTTTTTGGTGACAGTTGGGGCTGAGGGAAGCAGGGTGCCATGCCAACCCTTCTAGCCACAGCCAACCACCTACTTTATGTGCAAGGGAGCTTTGCAGGACAAGGAGAGCTGTCTGACTAGAAAACTCACCAGCAAATTCCTATGGGGCAACCATGTGGAAGGAGCACGTGATGCCCTTCAGTTGTCTTTTCTCAGACAGCTCTTGGCTGTTCTCTGCCATCAATGCATGTGTGCTTATACCACAGAGGAGCAGTGGCCAAGCAGTGTCCTTTCAGCCAGTAGGGCTTGGAAGGACACTTCAGGTTATTTGTCTCAGTGCACTGAATCTCCTCGCTGAACTGCATTAAACACATCTACCTACCAGACCCAACCCACTGTGAAAGAAGGGACCACACAGAGCTCAGTGCCACGGCAGCTGTCAGCAGGATAGAGAAAGCACATCCTTATCTCTTCCTCTGACCAAAAAGCTCACATGATGGCAGTCCTACAATAATACACTCCTATCTATTTATATCAGGCATTGCTGCGACATCTGTCTGTGTTTGCACAGGACTAATGGAGAATGAGACCTAAAATGGAAATGATCCATAAAACACTGCAATTTTCTGCATCCCTACAGCTTTCCAGGGAGGATGAGGAACCGAGTTAAGTACTTTGGTTGTAAATTATTCTGGTGCATGCTCCAGTGGACAGCATAGTCACTGAAGTGACTTTAATGTTTATACTTCATGGGTATCAAATGTACTGCTATGAAATATGAGTATAATGGCAAAATTCAACAAATAACAAGGGGGAAACGGGGAAAAGTCACTTGCTAACATTTACACTGTGAAATAGTTGTGCATATGCATGTGTGCATGTGTGAATACTTAACAAAACTCATCACCATGTTATTTTTCAGGCAGCTTGTTGCAATTTTCACATTTTCCCTCCATCTTTCAAGCTACCTCCAAGACCTCCTCTTCTCCTCCACTGTTGCCCACTGCCATCTGCTGCCGAGGCCACGTTTGTCTTGTGATGGAATCCAGTAGAAGAGCTGAGCAGGACGCTGAGTTGAAAATATGTCAGTTGGCCAAGTTCAGATCACACAGAGTATCATGAATATGTGGGTAGTAGAAAGGTAAAGGATTCACCCACAAAACTGCATTTTATGGGTCCCTTTCAGCCCTCTAATTAACAGCAAAGGGAAAAAAAAAAAGGAAAAATGAACTTAGAAGGCACAGCACTGCCATGAACTACTCACCAGCTGTGGGGACAGACACAGGGCACTACAGACTGCACTCCCTCTCCACAAATTATCCCCCTTTCTCCCCTAAAACCCCAGAATTTCATGAACTTGTTGTAGATTTGCAGCTTGCAACAGACGAGGATCTGTTTGTTATCATCTGGCTTCTTCTCTCCATTGTATCCTCACTACCACACAGTAGATTTCAATCTCTCCATGGGGTCCGGGTCAGTTTTGCTGTTCCAGGGTCTGGCAGTTTTGCAGCATTAATTTAATATTATAATTCAAAGGCAGAACGTTTTAACCCCTCAACCCCATGGCAGCCATGGTCCAGCAAGCCATCGTGTTGGTGTTGTTGGACTGGTTGGCATCAGAACTTGCACTCTGCTGCAACCTTAACAGTTACGTCCTCTAATAATGCAATAAATCTGTGTCTGTCTTGGATTTATGAATCCAAAATGTATGAAGGAAGACAAAATATGTTTTAGTCCTTTTTTCATCTCCCTTTCTGTGTGTCTGACTTGAGGCTGATTTATTGTAGGTCTTTTCCATCTTAAAATTTAACAAGCCCTTCACATACAGGATTCAGCATTTTGCCCTTCAGAGTTGTAAGAACAACTGATGTAGCATCAGCTTCATTGTTGCACTCTGTGGCAGTTATCCAGAGCAGATAAAAACACCCTAAAATTCACTTTCTTTGCTGTCCAATCTCTTAGTGAAACTGGTGTTTGGAGTGCTTTCAGCTCTAGGATCAACAGTCCTTTACTTCCAACAATTAAACTAAGTTTTATTTTGGGTGATCCTCAATGTTTGAAGAGTCGGACTCGATGATCCTTATGGGTCCCTTCCAACTTGGGATATTCTGTGATTCTGATGTGTCCTCAGAATGGCAGCCTTCTTCCCTTGCATTATCTACTCACAGCCATGTTCTGTATTGTGTCTCCAGCCCATGAGTTGAGCAGCAGTGCCATCTGCTTACAGTGATGGTTCCACCGTGTTCACAATTCAGTGCACTTCTGCCACTGGCTTTTCATGAGCACTGACCACAAAAATTATCTTCTGTGCTGCTGATTTCATTTTGTTGTTGCTGAGAGCTACTGGAGTTCTCCTGCTATGCAAAAAACTAAATATCTATATTTCTTTTTCGCTTCAGACACATTTTGGCTTCACCTTTAGAATTCTTCAGGATGAGTCATCCATCTCTGAGATGATTTTGCTTCTTGTAACCATTGAACCCTTCCCAGAAAGAGGACCTCACTTCTGTCCATGTTTACTTCCACGTGTGAGGCATTCCACAGTCCTCCACGAAAACTCCCTGCATCATGCAGATATTTCCTGCAATCTGATTTATTGTTGTGCCTCTGTGTTATTTCTACACTGTCAAATGTTAGCTGCAGAGATTTGGGACTAAAAGTGAGACATCATCTCTGCCCTCAAATCTGTGTTCGTCTTAATTTGTATTCTCCACTGCCCTACAAATGACTCAGCAGCTTCTCATCCTTTCTCTCAGTTCTGTGGGAGATTTGCACTCCTCTGCAGCCCTGTGCTTTGTGGGATAGCAGCCACACACACGTAGTATGGTCTGATCCCTGACTCATTCCTCCTCTGGCAGTTGGATGTTCATAGTTCCCTGATTGCCATTCAGAGCATCACAAGACTTAACTGTGTGCCTCATCTTTTCCAGGAAATCCATTCTACCTTCATGAAAAAAAAAAAAAAAAAAAAAAAGGAAATACTTGTTTAATTCTTTTCCAGTTGCCAATTTCAGGATTTTTTCAGTTATTTTAACTGTATCTTCTACCTCTATTTCCAGGGTCAGTCTTCAGCTCTTGCACAGACAGCACTGTGTCCCTTGGTAGTCTTACTAAAGAGGAATACAATTTTTGGAGACATCAACAGCCAAACAGCTGTGTTAGCAAAGCTAATGGAAGGAGATCAAGATGGGCTAAGAGGCAGCATGACAGACAAATCCCTCTTTTGCCCAAAATATCTTTCTTCTGTGCTGCCCACTCACTGATGGCGGTCTGTGGTCATCAAGTTGGCTTAAGAGGTTGGGGGTCAACATTGTACCCCCACTGAACAGTTCTTTGGGTATGGTGGGCACCAGCCTGGGGCTGATGGTCTGGCAAACCTGCACTCTTACTTGGCCTTTGCTTTTGGAGAATGAATGCAAAGACTCTGATTGCTAACAAATGCTGGCACTCAGCCTTCACGTGAGAGTGTTGTTATGAGCCCTGAGATCTCTTGTGTGCTGAATTCTCAAAGGGAAGAAACTAAGAGATGCAGAAAAGGGCTGCAGGAACAGCCAAAAGTCTTTGGAGGTATTCGATTTGGAACTTAGGTCTGGCAGAGATAAACGGTGATGATAAGAAATTTCATGCCATTAAACAAGGTGTAGTGAAGGTGAGTAAGAAGGAGCCACATTTCTCACAATAAATAAATGCAGATGAAGTGAAATGTTTTATGACACAAAGCACAGTGACTGAATGCTGGAGCTCACTGCTGCAGGATGTTGACGGTAAGAATTAGATTCAAAGAATGACAAATTTGTTTAAGTAAAATCTGTATTAGCTTCCTCAACACAAAAATACCTCTTTGTGCTTTCTGGGCCACAGATGCCACTGGCTGCCCAGAGAGCTGTGGGTGCCCCATGGCTGGAGGTGCCCAATGCCAGGCTGGAAGGGGCAACTGATCTGAGGGGACAACCAGCACACAGCACTGTTGGAATCTCTGCATTGCATATTGGCTCAGCCTGCATGAGCAGTCTCTGTTGGCTGCATGCTTATCCAGTCATGAGTCCAAATGGACCCCCACGCACATGGCCTCGAGGATGAAAATTCAGGAAGGGAGCCTGGGACAAGCTTCTAAAACAGGTGAAGAGGTTTCAATGTAATGTTGTCGTTCAGGGCTGGGCTGTGTGCATGCAGTGAAATCCCAGAAGCATCCAAGAGCAGACACTGAGTGCTGGGGCCTCCAGGACAAGGTGCGAACAGGTGCTGAGTGCAAGGTTCAGTTATTGAGTGCTGACCCAGTTCTGAAACTGATTTTGTTCTCTTATGTCCTGAGGACAACTTAGCTGCCAACAAGACTTGTGCCACTTAGGATACCTTTATAGCATAAATAAAAGCTACTTGACACAGGCAATGATTTATTTCCCTCTTCAGTATGGCCTACAAATCCCTGTAAGCTATGGGAGGCTTACAGGAGCTAAGGAAAGGCACACAGTGCTTGGTGCCCTTGTTTTGCCTTCAGATCTGTCTTGCTTCACCCTCGCTGAGACTCATCTCCAATGCAGCTCTGATCTTTCTGCTCCTCTGAAAGGGGAGAACCAGGGTTTTTCTCTTATAAGCAACTCACCTTCAAGATCTGGAGTTTTCTTTTAAGCAGTTCAATGGTGAAAGGAAATAAGTCACCCAGCTCACCCTTCCCTGGCTCAACCACGTGCAGAATGGACAGACGCTGGGACAAACCAGGGGCTGGAGGTTGGCATCTCTTCCTTCACTTGTAGATCCAGACACTTCATCAGAAGGTGCTCTGCTGAATGCCCTCTTGTGACTTCATCCATCTTGCACACTGTGATCCTTACATCCCTTTTCTTTCCTATTGCTTGTTCCCTGGCATCAGCTATCTCTGCTCTGCATGTTTTGCTTGTCCTCCATCCCTTTCCCAGCACAGGAAGGCTGGATGGATTGCTTAAGTTTGGGTCATCTCCAAGGATTCCCTTCCTTGAGCCTGGCTCATCACATCTCTGCAGTAAACCTGTATCCAACTGCATTTCTTCTGATGAAAACATCCCACTGCCTGTCCTCCTTGGAAACATCATCTTCTTCACATCCCAGATCTTCCTGGAGGAAGAAGGAGAAATTTAGATGAAACTGAGGCGAGAGTGCTAGGCTCATTGGTCATCATTTCCATGGAACAGTTAAAGGCAAAGGGCCCAGCCCTACTTCTTACAGCAGGTAAATGAACACACCCATCAGCCTGAGAATTTCCTACCAGTCTTTCAAAAAATGGTCATGCCCTCCAATGGGCAACTGTCTAGGACTGACACCCACCCCTAAGGTCACTGACAGGAGAGTATTTACCTGGTGCTTCATGTCAAAGGGAACCTTCAGGTGGTACAGAGCAATGCACAGCTCAGCTGTCAGGTTGCTTTTCTTCTGGTTGTTTGTCCAGAATAAGCTCAACAGGGAAACCCTTCTTAATTTTTGTGAAAGTGTTTAATTGATTGATGCCAGGGCAAAAAAAAGTAACAGATCTTGCTGGATAAATGATCTGAATGTCCCACGTAAACCTGTGATGGTTTGACTTGATCGTCTTAAGGGTCTTCTCCAACCTAAATGATTCTGCAGTTCTGTTAGGGCCGTGGTTGAGTTGGTAGCATTAGGTTAATGATTGGACTCGGTGATCTTCAGGGTCTTTTCCTAAATGATCATATTCTGTTCCGTGATCCCCACTCACTTTGCCAAGCCACGCTCTGGGCAGGACACAGGCGAGTTGTAACTGGGACGTGAGACCTCTGTTTGAGTTGAGGTGGGCTCAGATAGCCAAACTGCCCTCTGAAGCCCCAGATATCTCATATCTATGGGCTGCTGAGGAGCTGAAGAGCGACATAGAGGATGTGTTTCTGTTTTTTAGGGAGGACCTGTCCTAGCTCAACAGCCAAACCTCAGGTTAGCAATGCAAAGGAGAAAGTAAGAGGGTCTCGGAGGGAAGCCTTATGCTGAAGTCTGGGAGGTGAGATTTGCGGGGAAATATGAGTGTGAGGTAGGGAAGTTTGTAGGGAGATTTTGCCAGGCTCTGAATTCCTCATAGCTTTGGAAGGATCTGCCAGTATAGGATGGGGGAATTATGTTTACCCTTCAACTACCCCAAACCAAGCTCGTCTAGTCAACACCACATCTTACCATTCCCCCAAGTCCAAGGATCCATCAGCTGGGCTCCAGGGGCATCCCCAAGCCTGGTTTCCTGCTGTTCATCATCCTGTGTGTTGGCCATGGCCCTGCGGACAATGTAACACTTTTCATGACAGTATTTGTATTTTTTTAATTGTGAATGGGGAGATAGTGTGCAGGTCCTTGTTACACAGGGATGTGTCTTCCATTCAGATCAGGGCTTCCCCTGGCTTCGTCAGATGTCTATCGATGTTACTGAGAAAAATAAAGAAAGAAATAAATCAGATGTATTTATAAAGGAAACAGAAACCCGCTGCTCCAATGCCTTTGTAGGAGTATTTTTAACAAAACATTTTTTCAAAATAAATGTGAATTGTAAAGTTTGAAGCATTTGCTTGTGGCTTTCTTTTCTAGGTGCTTTGTCAAACTTTCAGCCTTACCAAGAACACTGCTTTGGTGTAAATAAGATTGTTAGATAAACATAAGTGTTACTGATCTCTTAGGAGAGAAACGTACCCAGACTGAGATGCTCAAAGCTGTGGGTGCCTCATCCCTGGAGGTGCCCAAGGCCATGGATGGGGTCCTGGGCAGCCTGAGCTGGTGGGGGCACCCAGCCCATGGCAGGGGATGGAACTGGGTGGGTTTTAAAGTCCCTTCCAACCCAACCCAACCATTCTGTGATTCTATGATATGATTGATATAGCAACAGGCAAAATAGCTAGCAATACAATAGAGCACTATAGAGGGGAGTAATACTGTCCAAATACAAAACTGGTCTTACCTGTTCCTCTCCCAGACCGCTTACATGCTTTCAGAGCAAACCATTAACAAGAAATCTCTGTTGGATAGGTCTCACGTATAAACTTGATCTTCCTAGGCTGTAAGCTTTTACTTTTCTGACCCAAAAAGGGAACTCTCCAGGATAATGCTGTTTCTGCCTTCTGTCATCCATTCTCCAAGTAACTGGTTGCTATTTGAAAGCCAGCTGCTAAGAAATGAGCAGTGAAATGCACAGCTCAGGTTCCCCTCTCCTTTCGACAAACAGCAGCCCAAAATCTCCCCCAAAGCTTCTCTGCTGCATTCCACTGTGACTGAGTGGTTCGGATTTCCCTCCCATCACATTGATGTAAGCCATGCATAACTCAGTGAGCATTAGTGGGGAAAGGCTTGATGAGAAACTGCTGTGTAATCAGGATCTACCATGGGTGTCTGGGGTTGCAACTTCCAAAAGGGGTAGTTACCGAAAGAATGACATTATAGGGAGATCTGTCACTACATCTCAGCTCTCCCTGCAGATGTGGCCTAATTAGGCACAATTTCTCCTCGGAAGGAGCAGTGATGTGCTGGCACAGCTGCACAGGGAGTGGTGAAGTCACCATCCATGGAGGTTGTTCAGAGTGGAGATGTGGCACTGAGGGATGTGGGCACGATGGGGTGGGTTGTGTTGGACTGGATGATCTCAGAGGTCCTTCCAACCTTAATTATTCTATGATTCTATTCTTCAAGTGAGCCCTCAATACCTGCTATAGTCTTAAGCACAGTTCCCTGATAAGACCACATATGGTTGGTTAAATGCTTTCCGTGTTTCTTAAGATCCTCCGTACATCTGCATTAAACTGCTGTGGTTGATGCTCTCTGCAACAGCAGTTTGTCAGATCCAGGTCTTCACAGCCTCATTCAGGATCGCACCTTCTTTGTGCAGAAGGCATTGTGGAGGAGGCTTGTTGTTAGCTCAGAGGCTGCAAGAATGCCTGGTTGGAATCCCCAGACTGAGTTACCATAAAGG